TGTGGAGGGAAAAGCCCGCTTTGCGAGGGTGCAAAATACGAATGATATGCGTCAGTGTAGGGCTGGGCGGTATATCGAGTTTGTACGATGTATCGTTATATATAAGTCGTTATATCGTTATATACCCAGGGTGTTATACTGTGGAACAGTAGCAACAATGATTTAAAATTATGTAAAAACTTATTGCAATTGAAATATATGTTTAAAAAAAGAATCCTTGATGGATATGAGCTGGAACAGTGATTTTCTTTTTTCAAACTTAGGTAAAGTAAACCTTAGGTAAGTTAGTTTAAGTAGTTAAAATATTATTGAAGTGGGGATAGGACAAGAAAAGTTATTCTAACTTCTTCCTACCCCCTTTGAACATGATTGTTGTTTGGACCATCTGTAGATGATCTTTTTTTCTTGATGTTGATGATTAACTATTTATTTTTTACTTTTTATTCAGTTTTTGCTGTTGTGTTTTTTTTGTTTTTTTTAACATGTTCAATAAAGAGAATAATAATAATAATAATAATAATAATAATATTTTTTTGAAACAATATGGAATGAGGCAATACAGTTTATATCGATACAGTAGTTTGATATGAGCACATCTGAAAAATAGCGGAGGTTGCAGTGTGAGCTGCTGCAGTGAATGTAGCTAGGCTACATAGTACAATTTGTCCTAAACATGACACAAGCTTATATTAATTGCTTCAAAATAACTGATAAGATATAGTTAACAAGTTTAAAGCAGCTTGCCCTGTCAGATGCTCTGACAGACACGGTTGCTGACTGACAGATATACTTGCGCTGTTTAATGCGTTTGAGATGTGGTGCTTTCCTCAGTGCTCAACTTACATTTCACAGGTATATTCTCCATCTGTAAATGTTAGAAAGTAAAGCAAATATGTCCATTTCACAACAAATATGTCCATGTCAGAAGCGGACGAGCTTCTGCAAGTGAATCTCCGCTAAAATTCATGCTTCCTTGAACGAGCGCCGTTATTCTACGCAATAATTCTGACTAAAATAAACATATTGCTAAAATATTTGTTGTTGGAGAAAATAAATGTGCCATATGTGGAATTTTAAACCTACAAGGATATATTTTTAATGAAAGTGACCATTATAATGGGGTAATCAAATGCAGGCTAATATAATTAGCTTGTGCTTTTATTTTTATTTTCATTTTTAGTTTAGCCTTTAGTCAATTTAAAAACAAAAGCTTTTTGCACATAATATATTGCATAGCCTATATTATATTTGTTTCCATATACTTCAATATGGAACTGTGCTTTACATTTCAAACCAGCAAGTTTTTAAACACTTGTTTTAGCGCATTGGTTGATAAGATAACACATATAATATAACGTATAATACCTGCTTCCACCTAGTATTAAATTCCCCAAATCTGTGACAAAGACATATGAGATGCAACCCCACTCTTTAAACCCATTAGCTGAAATCCATTTGAAGGTAGGTTGGATGACCAAATGTAAGCTTTTCTCTAAAAAAAACAAAAAAAAATCTTGTTGTGAAGAACCCTGGGGTGGGAAAGTGTGTTTTCAAAGGCCACATCTGTAGGTCAACAGTCCCTTTCTCAAATGAATACGGTTAAGCTGTGATGTCATATCCCTCATGGGAAATTACCATTGAACACAGCGCCGTTTTCTTTATCCACTATGATGAGAAGCGCTTTAGATTGGCATCCAATTAGTGACGTTTCAGAATGTGTTTTTACTATTAAAACACGAGACCGAATAGTTACTACCATAGTACTGCAGTTAGCATAGTACGCAATAGCAACTCGATAGCACAACTGTCACACATCCATCTACCAAATGTTTACATTTGTTCACACATAGCAGCGTTTAATTTATTGATATCAAACTGATTTACTGGCAAAGTTACGATACGATTTCTCATTCTGGACAAATTGCCAGAACTGATTTATATAGCCTACAGAGTTTAGCTCAAACCTCGTCTAGTGATCCTGAAGACCTCGATTAGCTTGTTCAGGTGTGTTTGATCAGGGTTGGCCGTTAACTCTGCAGGGCAAAGCAAGACACAACACCACACGGAGGTGCTATGAGCACAACAGGATTTTAACTGTCTCTTACCTCTTTGTCTGAAAGTTTTGACTAGTTTTCGACACTGTATTGGCTCCAGAAGGTCCTGAAGATCTGACACCTCTACTAAGGAAAGGTCCTCGGACTTCTCCACGCCCACCACAAATGACAGATGATTGACCACATTGAGAACTTTGTTCCTGTCCAACTCTGGGAGAATTCTTTTGATTTCCTCTTCAATTGCACCTGTATGGGGTTAAAAAGAGCATTGCATCTATAAGGACAAAGCTTAAACCAAAAAACTGTACTTGAACACGGTGAGAACTACAGCTGACTGTCAACTAACATGCGTGTTCTACGCCTGTGTGTAAATGAGACAACTATTTGTCTATTTCTGCAGATCTATTCGTCATTTATAAAGGGAAACCTACGTGTCTTTTGGACCTTGAACCGTTTGGTTCCCATTGAAGTCCATTATATGGAGAAAAATGCTGGAATGTTTATCAAAAACCATAATTTATTTTCGACTGAAGAAATAAAGACATGGACATCTTGGATGACATGGGGGTGAGTAAATTATCAGCAAATTTTTTTTTTTTTTTTTTTTTTAAAGTGAACTACTCCTTTAAATCCGTCTGGCTAGTGTGCTTCCCATAATGTTAACGCATTAGGTCAGTATGAGGAGAGTAGACACACTTTTGTGACTGTTTGAACTCATTCAACCACATGAGCATTTACACTGAAAAAGAAATCTGATCAAATGCATTGAGTACTTCTGAAAGTGCTCAAAAGTTGACAACCTAAATACACCTGTATTTAGTGTTGTCCACTTGTAATCAACCAAAACGCATCTTAATACCATTTGTAAACAGAATTTCAGTATTATCTTTCCAAATATATATCCACAACTTTTGCAGACTACAAAAGTAGTGTTTCATGATGGTACAGTCAATTAACCCTTTAAATCAGGAGTGCTCAACCCTTCTCCTGCCGATCGGCTGTCCTGCACAGTTCATCTCCAACCCTAATCAAACACACCTGCCTTTAATTTCCAAGTGATCCTGAAGACCTTAATTGTTTGCTTCATGTGTGTTTGATCAGGGTTGGAGACGAACTGTGCAGGACAGTCGATCGGCAGGAGCAGGATTGGGCTGCTTTACACGGTAAGAAATCATTTAAAACACATAGGCCTGGTTTCACAAACAGGGCTTAGATTAAGCTAGTAGCTTTTATAAACATGCATTAGAAAGAAAGAAAAACATTACTAGTGTGCAATGCATCATAAGACAAAACAACAGCACTGACATATTTTAATATAAATCAGTGCAAGTTTCCAATGTGTGCATGAGGTCAGCTGTGATGTATTGTACAAATAACTACACATGACAAAAAGCTCTCTCACGGCATACCTTTCACACTTTGATTATCTTCTTGGTCTTCCTCAATTCTTTCTGAAGAGCGATCTTCAAATGCTTCCTCCTTGACCATAATCATGTCAGGCTCTTCTTCCAGCAAATTTACTGGCTAAAGGTTTGAAAATAGGAAAGGGAACTGGCTGACATTTGATTCGATCTCCATACACTTCATCACTCATCAGCATGAGAGAGACCAACCTCTCCTATGATGACCGCAGGCTCCAGGTGTGTGTCGTCCTCCTGCTCCTCAAGCTTTGACTCCTCGTGTCTCCAGAGGTCCATGCACCAATCCTTACCGAAGACATTGTCAATGGCAGGGCGATGTCCAGTTGCTGTTGGACATGTGGACATTCATTATTAGGCGGGTATAGAGACAGGGGCACAACGTGGATGCTTGAACCTCCAGTTAGGTTATCAACACAGCCTCTTGCATTTCACATCAATATATATAAACAGATTTGTGCATTAGAAATGAGGAAACATCTGGAATATTACCTGTAAGTCCTGGAGCTTTTGTCCCGTTCATCTTTCCAGCGGTTTTCCGAGCAGACTGAAGTTCACTTTCCAGAAAATGACATTTCTTTTTCAGTGATTCATTTTCGCTTGTAAATCGCGTGATCTCTAGTCGCAAGAAAGTCGAATTTGCCTCGAAAAGTTTGCTTATTTCCACGACAGCTGTTTTCGCCAACGTTTCCATTATGGATGTTAACTGTTTTTGGTATGCTGTGGTATTCATGATGTCCATTGTTTACGGGAACTTTAAAAAAATAAATACCGGTCCTTCGACCCGATAGCTCAATGAATGTTTTACTGCAGATGTTTAGTTATACCTCAATCAAACAATGGCGGTATGTTACCTTTACTATTTATGAAGATAGAAACAAAGCATTGCGTTTGGCAGTAAAGGATCATGGGATGAATTACCGTAAACCACTGTGTAGAGGCGCCCAAACAATAGTCCACACAGGAATGGAGTTGTCTTTTTACTTCAGGCGGTTTGGCCAAAAAAAATCCTTTTAAAGGCATGAAATGGATAGATTATCCAAGTGAAAAGGCTTGTCAAACTTAGGGCCATTAAATTCGGCTACACTTTAGATACATCTCACTATGAACTACGACTTTTGCCTTAATAAACTCGTACTTACAGCTTATTATTTGATAGTTAGTAAGGTAAATTTAGGTATTGGGTTGAATTAAGGGATGTAGAATATGGTCATGCAGAATAAGGCATTAATATGTGCTTTATACATACTAATAAACCAATATCCTAGTAATATTCATGCTAATAAGTGTAAGTGTGTTACCCTAAGCCTCATAAAGTTTAAAAAATCTAACATTTTTGTTAGCCAAAAGTTGAATGTGAAATTGAAAAGTTTAATATGAATTTGATGTGAAGAACATTTTCTAGATGAAACGCATGATTTGTGATTGTGTAGACCCACACCTGTGATTTTGTACAATGCATCAATTGAAAAATACTCTTAAACAGTTGATCATCTTATTTTGACTTGTTTGTGAAAATACTACCACATTTATTTAAAAAGATATTTTATTCAGGAAAAAAATTAAAATACTTTAGGGACTGCAAAAAACAACAGTTATTAAGTTATCAAACTTGGTTATCAAAAGGTTACAGCAATAAAGCAATAGGTCTTGTTCTCCAAAAGTAGCAGAAAATTGGACACAAGAAAACGTTTCACAATGCTCACAAACAAACAACCTTTACTATCAGCATTTGACACTTTTAATACATATTTTTGTTAAATAGTATCATGTTCATCCTTCTGTTCAACAAACATAATATAGTACAATGACCTAAGCTGCATTTCCCAGAAGCATCGTATGGTCTCTACGATCAACTTCGCTCACCAAACGCAGCCCTAGACAGTAGTTTACTCAGTAACAATTCATTTCTTTTCTAACTAACACATCGGTGAGATTTAAGAGCACTTTTGTACGCGTATCTCTTCCCACATCCTAAACAGCTGAATGGCTTTTCTCCGGTGTGGCTTCGGAGGTGAACGTTCAGAGAGGATTTCTGAGAGAAGCTCTTTCCACACTCCATGCACGTGAACGGCCTCTCGCCTGAATGAGTGCGCTCGTGAGTTGTGAGATATATCTTTTGAGCAAACCTTCGACCACAAACTGTACAGACATAAGGTTTTTCTCCCGAGTGTGACCGCATGTGTTTTTTCAAATGGCTTAAATAGCCAAAGCTTCTCCCACAGAACACACAATTAAATTTCTTCTTCAGTGTAAAAGTCTGGTTGAGATTCTGGTGATTTGGAAAAAATCCAACATCTGCACTCAAATCTGACTCTGCCGTACAGTCTCCATCTGTCGAAATTGTTCCTTCAAGAGCTTGTTCTTCGGCTTGGACGTTCGCTTGGACTTGCTCATCTGAAGGTACGGTGTATGTGATAAAATCCTCAGAGCTCTGGGCAACACATCTCTCATCACTGGTCATTGCTGGACCTGCAATTCAATAAACGACACACGTGAACATCTGAATATAATAAGAGTTAATAGCAGCAGTTCTTTCTCCACAAACCTCTCAAACCGCTCCTTTGGTCTGCATTACGTTTACTTTTCCTAGAGCAATCGTCAATCTTCAGCGTCTCTTCTTTTATCATAATTACGTCTGGTTCTTCATCCAGCAAATTTACTGGCTAAAGGGTTGGAAATAAAAGCGGGAGCTAGTAAGCTGTGTTATTATGATTGTTTTTAAGAGAACTCCATATTCAGTAGTACGTGAGACCAACCTCTTCAGTCATGATTGAAGAGTCCAGTTGTGTGTCGTCGTCCTGCTCACCAACGTTTGGCTCCTGGTGTCTCCAGAGGTCCATGCACCATTCCTTACCGAAGACATTGTCAATTGTGGGACGATGTCCAGTGTCTATTGAATGTGGGCATTTAAAAAAAGCACAATTACTTAGCTATTCAGAAATCTTATTTACCCAACACAGGCCAAAAGAACTGGATTATAGTCTTAAAATATAATAATATTTCAGCCCAGTCACAATTATTTTACTTCAGGAGATCAGATCCTAAACAAATGGCCATCAACTGTAGAATGGGAGCGGTGGGAGACCATCTGAGATCTGTTTTAGACAACTGGCTGTCTGAAGTTCATTAACATAGAGATAGGAGCCATTACAACAGGAGTCACTTCATTTACATTAAGGGTAGTACTGTATATTTTAACTATTTTGAGTATAGAAAGTTCTGAGTTAATTCCTACTCCTTTGAACCCAAGGTGTACTTTGCTTTCGTTGTCGCGATCTTCAACATCCTACGTAATTTTCTCTTACAATACTTTATTTTCCAACATGTATTGTGGCAAATCTATTCCAATTGTTTTGGGGTTAAATATCAGGGGGGAATTGACTAATAGATGCCTCATTAGCAAATATCACATCAATCCAAATCCTAAGAAACAACTTAATGATTAAAAGAAAATAAAGTCGAGCTTCATGAAGCTAGATGCCTACAAGCCTAAACAAAAAGTGAGGGACAATTTCAGTATTTTCAAAAAATTGAAGAAAGTATGTTATTTAAGAAAATATTTCAATGCTTGTTTTTATTATTTTATCTAAATATAATGACGATGAATAGGGATGGGCAGATATTTAGATGAAAAACAAATACAACAAAAGCCTTAAAAGGATAGTGCACCCAAAATGCAATTTATGTCATCATTTAATCACCCTTGTGTCATTTATATGTGATTAAAAGCCTATATTTAATCTGTTCTGTGTATAAAGCGATTATCTATTCAGAAAATTTGGATTAAACCCCTCAATGGGCTTTATGCACAGCTGCACTACTTCCTGAACTTAAGCCAGCTCCTTGTTTCCTGTCTGTCATTATTGGTCAAATTGATTAATTCAGGTGTGCTTGACCTCAGTAGTCACGGCAACAATAATCAGACACACCTGAATTAATCAATTTTGGCCAATAATGGCAGACAGGAAACAAGGAGCTGGCTGAAGTTCAGGAAGTAGTGCAGCTGTGCATAAAGCCCATTCATATGAATTCGTTTTTAGTTCTTGAAGCGTCAAGTGGTAGTTGCGTAGCAGCTGTCAATGAAGGGACAGAAAGCTGTCATGGAAGTCAATGAAGACCAGAAACTGTTTGCTTTAGATATCTTATTTTTTGTTAAACAGAAGAAAGAATGTCAAGCAGGTTTGGAATAACTTGAGGGTGGGTAATTGACTTTCATTTTTGGGTGAACTATCCCTTTAACTCAAACAAAGGCCTTATTTTCAAGTTTGTGCATTACAGAATTAAAGCCTATCTATCAAACCATATTCACTAAGCTGTAAATTATACTGTAACGTAAATGATACCAGTAGTTATTCATGGGAACCGAAACCTTTTCCAGAGAACAACCAGGACACGAAAGTCAGCAAACAACATTTCTCAAGGGCACAGGGATCATCTTTTGTAAAGCATGAACATGCAGCGTTCAGTTTACCAGTTTAGATATTCAATTCAGCCGATTCTCATCATCATGTAACTTTTCCTTTCTCATTTAATTCAAACAAAATTCACAGTATCAGTCTTTTTTTTTTAACGAGTTTTATAAATCACCTCGAAGTCCCGGATGGCTGAATGGAGCTTCTGTTCCCTTCATCTTTCCAGCGGGTTTCCGAGCAGACTGAAGTTCACTCTCCAGAAAATGACATTTCTTTTTCAGAGATTCATTTTCGTTTGTACATCGTGAAATCTCTAATCGCAACAGCAACGAATTCTCGTCGAAAAGTTTGCTTATTTCAACAGCAGCTGTTCTCGCCATAATTTCCATTATCGATGTTAACTGCGTCTGAAAATCGGCAGTATTCATGATGTCCTTCGTTTACGGGAATCTTTAATGTAACAAGAAAATTCTTAATATAACCGTTTCTTCATCCAGAAAGACACTGTCGCTATATTCTCCAATCTTTTTGTAGAAACACACCATAAATAGCATGTGACCGAAAAGGATTATGGGATGAATTACCGTAAACCAACGTGTAGGAAAGCTTGTTTTCAGAATAACATTGATTCATTGTATACATAACAGCAGCACGAAACTAATAACAGATTCATGGAAACGGAGTAATTTGAAATGATGACAGAATATCAAATTTGCTTTTCCAATTTACTTAAAGAAACAGGTGTTTTTTTTTAAGTAAAACAAACAAATAAGAATACTGAATAAATAAAACAATGTTGCATTTTTGAACATGTTTTGTATTTAATGCTGATATGATAATATGAATTATGGAAGCTTGTTTCCGCCACTGAATAAAAAATAAATAATTGTGACTTTTTATCTCAAAATTGCGAGATATGAAGTCAGAATTGTGAGAAATAAAGTCGCAATTGTGAGATATAGTTTCAATTCTGAGAAATAAAGTCGCAATTGCAAGATATAAAGTCGCAATTATGAGAAATGAAGTCGCAATTCTGAGAGAAAAAAAGTTGCAATTCTGAGAAAGTCGCAATTGCGAGATAAAGTCGCAATTATGAGAAATAAAGTCGCAGTTGCGAGAAAAAAACTTTAGACTTATCTCAATTCTCACTTTTTTCTCACAATTTTGCGAGGTTACAACTCGCAATTCCGACTTTATAACACATAATTGGGAGTTTATAGAGTTTATCTCGAAATTACATCTTTTCTCAGAATTGTGAGATAAAGTCGCGATTGCGAGTTATCAGGTCAATTGTAAGGGGGGAAAAGCCTTTTTTCTCACAATTCTGACTTTACAACACGAAATTTCGACTTTATATCAATCAATTCTGAATTTATATCTCGCAATTTTGACTTTATAACACGCAATTGCGACTTTATATCACGCAATTCTAACTTTATCTCGCAATTCTGAGAAATAAAGTCAGAACTGCGAGATGTAAACTCACAATTATTAGAAAAAAAAAGTCAAGAATTGTAAGATAAAAAGTCGCAATTACCTTTTTTATTTTTCATTCTGTGTCGGAAACAAGCTTTCAAGTGAATTATAGAAAACTTTACATTGTGTTTTAATCATCTACACTTGTTGTGATCATAATAAGGAAAAAAAATAAATAGCTCAAACCAATGTCAAACAAGAGCACACTTTCCTCAAGCTCATTGTCATTCATTAACTGATGTTGTTGCAAGACTGACAAGACAGGTGTTTGTTGAGATTAAACTTCGTTGTGAACCCTTTCCCACATTTAATACAGGTGTAGGGTTTTTCTCCGGTGTGACTTCGCAGATGCATGTCAAGAGTGCATTTCTGAATAAAGCCTTTTCCACAGAGCGGGCATCGGTACGGCTTCTCTCCAGTATGGGTGCGCTGATGGGTGTACAAGTGTCCTTTCTGAATGTACCTCTTTCCACATAGTGTGCACCTGTAGGGCTTCTCACCCGTGTGGCTCCGCTGATGTATCGTAAGCTGACTAAAACACCTGAACCACTTTGAACAGTAGGTGCAAACAAACCGCTTGTCCCCTGGCATAGTATCAGCACCGCATGTTCTTGTGGACAAACTCTGTGTGTGACTAAATGAAGTGTTTTCAGGTTCAGATGTGTGTTTCTTAGACAACGGCCGGTTCACCATCATTTCACCAGGTGAGCTGCTTTTGTTCAGCGATTCCGATTTAGACGGGACTCTCGCAGCTGCATTTTCTCGACTTTTTCTGTCAACGCAAGGGACAATTTTGCGAACGTCCTTGGTGGGCGACAGGCTCACGGCTTCACCGCAGTGGGTTCCTATGGTTAAGTGAAAGTCATGTAAGTGTTATGCAGATGGAAGTAAGTTACAAATTATTCACATGCATTTGCAATTAATGTTATCCACCATTATACAACAGATGGTTCCAGTCTTACCCGCTTCACTGTTGTCTTGACCAATCCAAACATCTACTTCATGTAGCTCCTGCTTTATCATACCTATTGGCTGGTTGACCTCACACTTCTGCTGTGACATTTTGACATCACATTACATCTTATATTTGTATAATATATAAAGAAACATTACATTTACAGCAGCTATTGTATTCAAAATATTTACAGGACATATTTATGGATATTTCCACTTACTTGGTCTTGCTGAATTACTGTTGGGCTGTCTCTAAAAATAACATCATTGCTACACCGGTTGAAATGATTCTGCATCTCTTCTTGGGCATATTCACTGAATAAATAAATACAATGAAAAGGGTTACACTTTATTTTAAAGTGTCCTTGTTTCAGTGTAATTATTCATTTACGTACTGAGTAATATATGTACTTACTCTAAGGTTTGGTTGAGTTACTTCAGATGTAATATGCATCATTTTTAGTTATTATAATAGTAACTCCATTTCACTATTTTCTACCTCTGTGCTGATTGAAATTGAATGTGTAACAAGGACACTGTTAACTAAAAATTGTTACATGTATGTTATAAACACTGCTGTGAAACTGATTACATGTAATCTGGATTATGTAATCAGATTCCAAAGTAAAGTACTTGTAATCAGATTATAGTTACTTTTTTTATAATTACACAATGGCAATACATTGTTCATTATTTATTTATTTTCCATAATTAAGTGTTTCTATCTCTAAAATTTTTCATTCAGCTACTTTTTTAAGTTTTATTTCATTTTCTTTTCGTGTTTTCTTTTGATCAATGTGATAAACGAGTTAGGCCAAAAGTAATCTAAAATGTAGTCTAATCATGTAAAATCTGTAATTACAATGACTACTTGGTTGCTAATTAATTACTAATTTCATCATGTCATTTTACTACAGTTTATAAGTAACAATAGATAAATCGAGTTAAACTTTGGACAAAGTTTGGGTATTTTTAGTGTTTTTATAAGAAGTTTCTTATACTCATCAAGCCTGTATTTATTTGATCAAAAAATAAAAACAGTTATATTGTGAAATATTATTGCAATTTAAAATAATGGTTTTCTATTTTAATAAACTTTAAAATGTAATTTATTCCTGAGACGCAAAGCTGAATTTTCAGCATCATTGCTCCAGTCTTCAGTGTCACATGATCCTTCAGAAATCACTCTAATAATACATGATGATTTATTATCAATGCTGGAAACAGTTGTGCTGGTTTTAACCAGTGATACTATTTTTCAGGATTCATTGATGAATCGAAAGGAATAAATTATATTTTATTTTATTCACATAATAATATTTCACAATATTATGACTATTTCTTTACTGTACTTTTGAATTCAAATTAAATACAGGCTATAAGAGACTTGTGTCCAAACTTTTGACCGGTATGATTGCATACATGTTCCTTATGAAGAATAGGCAATTTCCCGCATCATTAATACCAAAACAAAAGCGTAAGTACCTCTTGACACATGTGGAGCTGTGTGTGAGTGTGTGTCCAGTGTCCTCGCTCGAGCTCGGTGTGTTTCTGCGGGTGAGCTCCGACAGCAACACTTCACACTCCACATCCACCAGTCTGCTGATCTCCAGCACTGCTGTTTGCACCAGTGTCTCCATGATGGAAGATAACTGTCTCTGAAAAGAGGACAGAGTGGACAACATCTTCTAATATTTCCACAAACTCTCGAATGGAAGACACTAACTTTTTTTCAGATGTACAGAATTTGTAACTAAAATAATAATAATAATATTTTTATATAAATACTTTATAATAACTAAAATGGTTCAACAGTGTGGTTCCCTTTCGTACTATTTCTTGAGCGTGTGTAGATCAGTGTGATTGATTTATCTAAACATGGCTCACTGGCGCCGTCTACTGAAGTGGAGCGTTTCGAGTGAGAACCACGGACTGTTATTTATTTGGGTAAATTTCACTTACATATTGTGATAATATAATAAATATGGTCACTGCATATTTTCACATCTGTACTTAATTGTTTTATTATTATATTATTATTTGTTATATTATATATCCTTCAGCTGCACTGTGCTTGTGCGTATAAGTCACGTAGTAGATTAGAAAATATGGAAAATCCCATATTATACTATATTGTTACATTGTATGTCTTTCGACTGCATTGTCCTTGTGCTTATAATACTCACACACGTAGTTGCCATGCAAAGAAGTAGTTGTTTGAAAATAATTAAATAAAATAATAATACAAATCATATATAATATTATTAACAGCGACAACAAATAGCATATCAGACATCCATTGCAAACTAATCGAAAGGATAATTTTCAGATCTGTGATTCAGTTGCTACGCAGCGGATTGATTCAAATCAAATGAGCACTACATTACCCAGAATGCAATAGTAAGCAACATTCGCTGTGATTGGATGTTCGTCAGATCGCATGAGCAGGACCCAAAGAGAGATCCTCACTACTACGAAAACATTCCACGGTGAGTTCAAAGTCATTTTATAGTTTATTTCACCCTCCATAATTTATCGTGGACGACACAGAGCATCATTTTGTGCTTTTATTGCCTGCGGTTATCGGTAAACTAGAGTGCACTCATACCCTGGTGTTGGACGCATGTATTGAGTCCTGCTGTGTCAGTTGGCTTCATATCTGAATTGACTGGCATTAAACATTAAGCACCTTTCCCTAATTTCAGATGTCTGGACGTAGAGTGGTGGTTTTCCCCTCTGTGTCCGAGCTTGGACCCACTCTGGCTCAGCTGGTGTCCTCTCGTGCAGAGAAAGCTCTAAGCTCAGGTAGAAGCTCCTTCTCTCTGGGTCTCTCAGGTGGGAGTTTGGTTTCCATGTTGAGTAAGGATCTTCCTGCTGTGGAGAACCTGGACTGCAGCCGATGGCTTATCGGCTTCTGTGATGAGAGACTCGTTCCTTTCAGTGATCCTGAGAGCACGTATGGCTTATATAAGGTGCGTAATCTGTTACCCTTAACCTGTAGAGTTCTTAGTAATGGAGAAGTACAGACATGACTGGCAAAACAGCAACACAGCCTGTTTCAAGACACAAATATCTAGCTACCCTCTTCTAGAAAAGAAACAGATATTTGAACGAACTGCCAGTTTTTAACATGCTGTTGCTGGGAACTTTAATCAAAATCACTTCACCTCCCTCTTGCTGCAACTTTTCTTCTCTGATGATGTGTTTACTGGCGCAAGGGCGGGATCAACCTGTCACTCACATGAGATCGACCAATAGCAAACCACAACGATCCAGTCAATTACTCATATACAAAATAAAGTCCTGCCTTACATTTTTTTCTGGTTCGAGCTGTTTCACGCCGACAGCCGACTTTAATGTGAAAAAAAAACTTTTTAAACACTTAATGTATTTTAAAGGGTTAGTTAGCTTTTGGAATTAAAATAGCCACACATAATCACACACCCTTCACCATACCATGGTTTTATTTCAGTTAGCCTAATAGCTGGCTTTATATGGATTGGGAGATGATTTTATGGAAAGTACCCCATGCCAATCTCTAGGTATGGTGAAGAGTGTGTGATGATGTGGGGATATTTTAAGTCCAAAGGCCAAGGGAACTTTATCAGGATGTATAGTATCCTGGATTCATTAGTCCAGTCATATTATGGAAAAAGGTTGAACAAATTGCAACAGAAGCAAACTCAACTGATTTTGTATCATCAATATGTCATGAGTAAAGGGGAAAAAAGAATCCCATTTTAGGGAAATGTTTAGAAAAACACCCACATATTGCCATTTCATACGCCTTTTTCACACGTGAATAGGGTAAAATTGTTAATCTTTAGATATCATCACGAAAATTACTGAGTCGATTACTTGCATCGAGACAAACAAAAAATGTGTTTCAAGTGTTTTAAAATTTTTTGTTAACATGGACAAACGGTGCATAATCTAATTACATATGTGCTAATTTGCGTAAATACCACAACAGATCTAAACATTGGGTATAGCCATATGAAAAATGTTTAATTTTAATGATGATATCTAAACATTAACATTTCATTTTACCCTATTCATGTGAGAAAAAGGCAATGAGTAGGCAATATTTGGGTCTTTTTCTAAACTTTCCCTTTAATGGGATTCTTCAGGGCTTTTTTCCCTCCTTTACTCGGGACATATTGAGGATCAAAAATTAGTTGAGTTTGCTTCTGTTGCAATTTGTTCTAGGTTGACCCTCATTTTGGCTTAAAATGACTGGACTAATGAAATAACTGGCCTTTAAAAATAAAAATCTGCCTTGGAGGATTTTTCCTCATTTTTTTTTAACTAATGTATTAAGATAAATTTCCAAAAGATTCATTTTTTATTTCTCTTTTTAGTCAGCTTTAGCATGGGTGTGTTCACTTATGCTAAGCACTGTATAATATATATATATATATATATATATATATAAGCACTGTATAATATGCATTTTATATATATATATATATATATATACATGCAAATATTTCTTAAATATATACATGCATAATATATATATATATATATATAATAATCAAAATAATTCTACACAATACACACGTACATTATGTAAACTCAAACTTTTATTTTGGATGCGATTAATCGTTGCCCAGCACTGTACCTAAAACCACTTATGCAAGAGACCCGAAGGATCTTCGCCCTATTGCCCTTACATCTGTCCTGTGCAAGTGCATGGAGCGCATAGTGAGCAAGGAACTTCTAGCACAAATTAACGGATCTGTTGACCCATTGCAATTTGCTTACAAGCCCAACCGGAGCACCTCTGATGCCTGCCTGACCTTACTGCACAAAGCACAGCATCATCTAGATAAAACTAATGCTCATGTTAGAATGTTTTTTATGGATTTTACATCAGCATTTAATACTGTACAGCCACAAATTTTAATAGAAAGGCTGCGAGATTTAGGTGTACATAGCTGGTTAATTTTATGGATTGAGAATTTTTTAAGCAACAGGCCACAAAGAGTCCGTGTTAACGGAATTTTATCTGACTACATAGTCCTACATTCTGGATTACCTCAGGGATGTGTATTATCGCCTTTGCTCTTTTCTGTTTATACTAATGAACTTAAGTGTAACATTGATGATCTTACGTTGATTAAATATGCAGATGATTTGGTTTTAATTTCGTGCCAAACAGACAAGAACTGTCCCACCTACTTTGAGTATATCGAAAGCCTTGTACAATGGTGTGACAATAGTTGTTTACGGTTGAACACTGGGAAGACAAAGGAATTATGCTGAGGGAATCAGAATAAGAAATGTACAGGTGTCCTCCAATATGAAGAAGTAACTATAAAAGGTGTAAAGATTGAGCAAGTTAAAAATTTTAAATATTTAGGCACAATCATTGATGATAAACTTTTGTTTTTGGATAATGTGAACCACGTACATAAGAAAGCAAGACAGCGCTTAAGCCTACTTAGAAAGTTCCGAAACCTTGACATCGAAAAGAGGATCTTAACCATTGTATATAGATCGATGATTGAAAGCATTATAACTTATAATATTGTCTCATGGTATGGAAATTTAACAATGAAATTAAAGAATAAATTAACACGCGTAATAAATGAGGCAAACAAGATTATCGGCCATAAACAGAGCACACTACAAGAACTATTCTCAAATTTTATGGAGAAAAAGGCGCTAGCTGTGTTTTCAGATCAGACTCATCCTCTCCACTCATGCTTTGAAGTCCTCCCTTCGGGTCGCAGGCTACGTACACCGTATGCTGGGAAGAATATTTTTAAAAGATCATTTGTCCCATTTGCAGTGACTGTTTTAAACCAAATTCTCAATTAGGGATGTTATTGTGAATTATGTGCACTGTATTTTTATTGAATCATGTATTTATTAATTATTAGGGGTGTATTATGTGTTTTATGTGTTAAATGTGGTTGTAGAATGTTGTTGAAGCCAGTATCAAAGATGAATTTCTGTCCAGTTAATCTGAACAGACAATAAAGGTAAAACAAACAAACAAACAAACAAACAAAATAAATAAATTAATGAGATGGTCCTCACTGCAGAACATGAAATCCACAGGGAGGCGTCGGATCCAGATCCAACTCCTCCCACCTTACATACATGTAAACCTACCCAGCTCCACCCCCTGATCCCTAAACCCAACCGTAAACCTACCTAACTCCACCCCTCAGATCTGGATCCGACTCCGCCCCCTGGATCTTGTGTACTGCAAAGAGATGCTACTGAAATAAATGGAAGGCAGAGGAAGAACGTCTTGTTTTATCCTCCGCGTGGGTGTTTCTATGAGGGTGTGATGTCACTTATGAATACTGATTGCTTTTTATATCTTACAGAATCAATTGTTTGGGAAAATCAACATTCCAGAAGACAGGATTTTGGCTATAGATCCGTCTTTACCTGTGCAAGAATGTGCTGATGATTATGCCAACAAACTGAGCAAGGTGCGATTCACTTCATATACTTAATAAATTGAACTCATTTGATGTTTTTGTTTTTTAATTCATAGCTCTTAATATAATTTTCTCATTTTAGGCCTTTAGTCCAGAGCAAATCCCAGTTTTTGACATGCTCTTGCTGGGTATGGGACCAGACGGACACACCTGCTCTCTCTTTCCAGATCATCCTTTATTACAGGTTTCTGATAAATCCATTATAAAGCAGCATCCGAGTTAGTTTTCAGTTGATTATGTAATAACGTATGATGATGATAACATGCTAATAGGAATATAACTAAAATAAGATTTCCGATACAACATATACTTTTAGTTTAGCATTGTTAAATCCCACTCATTATAGAATCCTATTCATAATTTAGTTTTGAGTTAGGCTTTCTTTTTTTTAAAGTGTTGATTTATCATTGTAGGAAAGCCAGAGGACAGTGGCCGCAATCTCTGATTCCCCCAAACCACCCCCTCAGCGTGTCACTATGACATTACCCACAGTTAACGCTGCTCGATGTGTGGTGTTTGTGTCAACAGGAGGCAGCAAAGCTCCTGTACTCAAGGTAAGCACTTTCAGTTCGGCCTCAGAACCGGCTGTATGTCTACAATGATGAATGCTGCATTGGTATTCTTTCTGTTTTATTCATTTTTTGTAATCCTGTAACTGTCTGTAATTCTGTAGCATGTATTGGAGGGTGGAGAAGGGCCCGCACTTCCATCAGCTCTGGTGTCTCCTAGACAGGGAGAGCTCTTCTGGCTTGTAGACGAGCCGGCGGCGGCCTCGCTCACGTCTCAGGTGGAGAGGCCGAGTCCCGGGGCAAAACTCTGACACAACGTGTAGAAGCACTTTCTAGTGTTCTTATGGAGTCCTTAAAAAGCACTGTGTTTGCAAAAGGTTATTCTTCATAGCACTTTTCATATCTGTAATTACTGCAGTTATCGTTATTTACTGCAAACTGTAAAAAACTAACATTTCTGAATACAATTTTAGGAGGTTAATAACCATTTCTGAAATTGTCCACTTTTGTTGTATTTCATTGTGTCCGGAGTGCAAAGAAAGTAAAAAATGCCATTTTGTGGTGTTTTATGCAGGGTTATTCTAAGGCGCTTTTCCACTGCATAGTACGGTACGGTTCGGTTCGGCACGGCTCACTTGTGGTGCTTTTCCACTGCATGGTACGGTACAGTACGGTTCGCTTCAGGTCGCTTTAAATGGTACCTGGTCTGTTGAGGTTCCAAGCGTACCATACCGGTACTAAAATGTGACGTGAAACACTGCAGATCACTGATTGGTCAGACAGAATCGTCACTACCAGCGTCACTACTAGCGTCATTGGATTTGCGACACTAGACACTTTTTTAGCAGTATTTTGTTTTGCTGCCATCAGCCTCATTTTAAACACATTTTTCCGTCTAGCAGTTAAAAACAACCACATACCGAGAATCAGGAACACCATCCCCTCGATAGTCTCCATTGTTCCTGTGTTGTGGGTTTGAAAATGTGGCGCTTTTAAGATGATGTCATGGCAGTAGAGGCGCGCGCAAATAACGCTCAGTCCCACACACTTGGAAGGGGTACTACTGCAGTGGAAACGCAAAGCGAACCGAACTGTTCTGCGCCGAGTCGAAGCGTACTGAGCCGAACCGTACCGTACTATGCAGTGGAAAAGCGCCACTAGACTATTCTAAACTAAACCTAGCTAGAAGCATTAAAATGTATTACTTAAATTAAAAAAAATATAAAAAGATGTAACTTGATGTATTAAAATAACTAAAACGAAATACAAAAACATATACTAAAACCTAATGCAAATTATAAAAATGAACTATACAATTATTAAAATTTCATCTAAAATAAAAATGAAGGCTGAAAATATTAATATTAAATATTACAAAATTATAATACTGTCTCAAAGATACTAAACCAACACAGGTTATATAAAAATTAGATGTAAAAACTTTCTAATAGACGGTGCACTGTGATTACTATGAATGGGAGAAAGTGCAACGTGAAATATGGAGAAATAAGCCCCGCCTTCTAAATAAAAGAGCCAATCAGCTTTTGGTAAAGTCATTGCGCCACTGCTGCTGCCATTTTAAACACTGCTTATGACTGCGCATGTGCATCATCTGGTCCAGCATGAAAACGTCTCCGGTTACTATCGTAACCTTGGTTCCCTGAGAGGCGGGAACGAGACATTACGCCATATTGACGTACAGTATATGGGGAACTCCTTCCTTCTCCATTTTTACTGAAATCTTATAGGCAAACTGCAAACTGTTCAAAGGGCTTTAAACTACCAGACGATGAATAAGGGTCTTATCTAGGACCCTTCGAGTCATGACTCGAAAAAAAGATTTGTTCATTTTGATGAACGAGTTTGAACAGGAGAGTCACGAACGCTCATCACAGAATAGAGCAAGCGAGCATTTGTGCTTATAAAACTTAACTTTTTAATTTATTTTTTAAATGGCTGATCGTTGTGCTAGATAAGACCCTTATTCATTGTCTGGTGTCGTTTAAAGCTGCACTGAAACTCTCATTTGGACCTTGAACCGAAGTCCATTATATGGAGAAAATCCTGGAATGTTTTCATCAAAAACCTTCATTTCTTTTCGACTGAAGTAAGAAAAAGGTGAACATCTTGGATGACGTGGGGGTGAGTAAATTATCAGCAAAAGTTTTTTTTAAAAGTGAACTACTCCTTTAATGGGATTGGAATCGTCTGTTTGAAATGATCGAAAGTAGGCCCTTGTCCTATTTGTGTTTGTTCTCCAAAGGCTTACATTTATTGTTTTGTCTCCCTGCCAGCAATCGATTTATGTGTGTTTGTATTTCGACCTCACTTCACTTTTGGGACAGAATAGCTGAAACAAAATGTCCCCTGAAATTAAAAATAAAATGTGACAAAATATTATTTCTTTAGAATGAAAATAATTTAAAGAACAAACTATTAATTCAGTTCCTATTTTATTTAGCTGTCTTTTTCATTTGGCTAAATTCACATTTTGTGAGTCTATTCATGGGTCTCCAAACAGGAAATTGTGCCAATTAAGTGTTTGTGCACGTGATGACCGGTAATTACACGATAATTTGCGGGTGTCTTCTTCCCATGACACACAGCTTCATCTGAATATACTGTGACTGGTCGTGCTCGCTTGACTTTGACCTGTCAGGTGAATGACCGCGCGCGTGCGTATATGTGTGTAACGGGCTGGGGGTTAAAAGTATCGGACCGCTCTGAAGTTTCGGAGTTGAAAAAGTGCCAGTCGGTGAAGTTTTCAGAAGGGCTTGAGCTGGAAATGAAGATGATGTTCGTGAGATTTGCCCTCGGAGTCCACGGAGCGCGAGCGGCCACAAGGAGCTCCACGCGCGCTTTGGGACACGGGCACGCGCGCAGCCTCTGCAGTGACACAGGTTTGTTTACATGCATCTCTCTCTGTGTGGAGAACAAACAGGTTTAGTGCAAAAAGTGCTTTTTATGGAGAGGGTTTAGGACAGGGGAAAAATGAAAATTAGGCTACCATGACTACCCTTTTATTGGACGTTTGGCGTGGAAATATATGGATGCGTAGGCCACCATACTAACACTTTACAAATAACGGTAGTAAAAAAGACTGGACTACGATGGGTTTTATACATGTTAGAGTAATTTCATGGTAAATAAAGTTCAATACCGCTTGTGTTAGGTTTTATAACATTATTCCATGGTAGCCTACTTTTTAAAACGCTGTTTTTTAAAAACATTTGGTTCAATCCATTAACTTATACCATGAATGAATATACGTAGTATGACATGCTGTTTATTGGCCTAACGTACCACGATAACCATCTGATCAGCCTACTTATATTGTTACAGCCATTACAAAAATATATCGAATAATATTTTTTTTTAAATCAAAGTTTTATCTAAAGGATAATGTGCTCAGTTTCATTCTGTCCTCAGGTGATCAGTGATTGGTTAATTGTGTTATTGAGTCCCCACGTGAGTGAGTGCTGACCACATAAGGAGCTCGTGCAAGTCGTTATCTCACACTTAAAAAATAGTCAGCATAAAATAGTCAAATCTCAAACTTGAAATTCACCAGAAAGCACATACCGTAATATTTTGCATTAATATCATGGTAATTTCATTGGTTTGCACATGTGTTAAATAGATTTCAGTTAAATGAAATAAAGCTGATTTTTTTTTAACTAAATGTTCTAAAAACAAGAAATGTTGTCTTGGTAATAAACTTAAAGTTTGTTGAAGCACTAAAATTATTAAATAGAAATAGAGTAGTCAACATTTGAAGTGGATCAAAACCCTTCATCAAAGTTAGATGAATTTTTAACAATACCTGTTCCTTTCTGAGGACAACTTTGAACTTTTTTTATCCACTTCAAATGTTGATTACTGTAAATACATCTAAATCTTAAAAGGCCAGTTAGACCCGACTAACTGGTGACCTTGAACTCCCTCTTCACAGTGCGTGTGATTGGTCCATCTGGAGGCCAATCAATGCATCTTGGCAGCATATTGGGCTGAAGCTGTGTGTGTGTGTGTGAGAGAGAGAGAGAGAGAGAGAGAGAGAGAGAGAGAGAGAGAGAGAGAGAGAGAGAGAGAGAGAGAGAGAGAGAGAGAGAGAGAGAGAGATTTTCTGTTGTTTTGATGCTTTGGCAATACAAAATGTATTTTTTGTCATGCCAATAAAGCTTTCTGAATTGAATTGAATTGAGAGAGAAAGAGATATGAAAATCCTACAAACGCACGCATGACTGTAAGAGAGGGTGAGGCGATACACATTGTCTGATGATATCAGATGAAATCTCACTCTGGTCCTGCAATGAATATTCAAAATGCTGCTAAATGACAAATAATTAGAGTCAGTGACTGAAAGTCAATGGCATAAAGTTTCTTCATTTTCATTTTTTGTTAGGATCCCTCTAAATCTTATTTACTTGAACAGCACTTGCTTTCAGAATAACATGTTTTCACATTTCTAAGACAAACACGTCATTAATCATTAAAAGTGCTAAAATACTCTAAAGTCTGTTCTCAGTAATCCAAAAGGGAGGTAGATGGCGCTGTTTGCTTTTTAACAAATTTATAATTTCTCTGAAGAAAATAAATGTGTGTAGTCGCCATGAAAACTGCCATTATTGATATGTGTCTGAACTGCTGTAGATTTGTCGGGTTTTAAAGAACGGACTTTGGTCGCTGTGAAACCTGATGGCGTTCAGAGGCGTCTGATCGGTGACATCATCAAGCGCTTTGAGCAGCGAGGATTCCGATTGGTGGGTCTGAAGATGCTGCAGGTGCGGGATACACACACAGGACGTTCGTGTGTGTGTGTGTGATGTGTTTGTTGATCATGTGTCTGTATTTTTCAGGCTTCTGACAAGCTTTTAGCTCAGCATTACGTGTCGCTGCAGAAGAAACCCTTCTACTCCAGCCTGCTGTACTACATGACCACTGGCCCTGTAGTCGCCATGGTAACGATCAGTTATGATATGATATCATATAGTACTGTTTCTGCAGGATGCAAATAAGAGTGCAAAACCCTAATGGATTTGAAAAAAATGTGTCCAACCAGAACATACTGTGTGCAATGCAAACACCCAAAAGTAAATTTAACACAAAAATTGATTCAAAATGCAAAATAACATTTTAAAGGAAAACTAGATGCCACTCGCCTGATGCAATAAATAACTAAAAACGTATACGCCCTATTTAAAGGCAGCGCCATCTTTGATTTTTAATGAGAATGAAAGCGAGGCTGTGAGGGATAGACTTGCATCTCTTCAATGGGCTGTACTGTTATTTAATGTGTTTTTCGGATTGTTCTGCTCGTGAAACACTGGGAAAATATCTTTTCATGAAATGTCAGTTGACAAAAAACTCCCGACAATGTAAGCTGTGGAAAATTGTAAGTAATCTAGCTGCTTTATTCAGCTTTTTACAGCTGATGCCATTGGAAACACGGTACGTCTATCCCTCACAGCCTCACTTTCATACCTGTCATGGCGCTGCTCTGAATAAGGTCTATAGCATACTGTTTGAAACTGTGTTATTCAAACATTACA